GCACTTAGCCTACTGACCATTAAATATGTGATTTCCTTTCCTCTCATTGATTTCTACTGGTAGTAATAGTGTTGAATAAAGTATTATCTAGTGTTGATTTAGTTCTCTATTCTAGGTTGTGAATTCTAGATCTGATATAATGTGAATAGTCTCATTATTGTATTGACGTATTATTGTAGTATACTTTAGTGGCCCGTGGATCTGACTCCATTTAGATTGTATGAATATTAGTTACCACCTATCCTCGTGTATAATCATCGACTTTAATCGCGTTAGTCAATAACGGATTTAGATAAGTCAAATAACGAGAATGAACTTTCATATACATATATTTTGTATGTAAAGTGAATGCGATAGAACACAGCAAAAAGGACGAACAAGGGAGATGGCTGGTAAGCCAACTCCATTTCTAGTCAGGCGTTACGCAATATTTATAGACAGACTAAATAAACTACAGACATGTGATGAGACATGGGATATGAAATGTACACACATGTACGCTCATATAAAAACAGTCAAGACTGATAAGCGAATAATTAACAAGGTCAAAATATGACTCAAGTAGAATGAATAGAATGGAATGTCCGGAAGCTAGAATAAGGTATATTATGGGCTTAAAATAATGACTGACATTACAATACTGCAGAACGAAGGAAACATTTCAGACCATCTGTTATATTTATCAAGAATAAATAGAATGTGGCTAGATGCGTACTCCAAGATTTGCGTTCGATCCTGTTTTCGATTTGTCAGTTGGATGTACAGGTGTCCTAGAGTTAATGTTCAACCTGAGATTTAAGCCCAGTGCCATTCGTTTCAAACTCCAACACTTTATTAAGTCAACTACTGAGTTCAGAGAGCCACTTACTTGTGCACCAGATATGAATTTCAATTCACTTTGTGGTGGTTTTGCCTGTTTCAAGAGGCATATCCTGAAGTTATAGTGAGAAGTAGTAACCAGTGGAGTTCAACCGGGTCTGTTGTGAAATAGTAACTCACTGATGATAATGGTGGATGTGTCGCTCAATTTCGTGGATTATTTGAAGTTAGACAATAAACTGTTGGATGCCGGCCAGCTCAGTGGTCTAGTGGTTAAGCGTTCACGCGCGACACTGATACGTCCTAGGTTCGAATCTCGCGAGGTAGGATCGCGGATGCGCACTCATGAGGAGTCCCCCAATAGAACGAAATGGCCGTCCAGTGCTTCTAAGTTTTCCACGGTGATCTAGCTTCAATTGACATATGATCTCAACTATTAATTTTTTTAGTTCAAGAAGCTTTCTTCAATTTTGTTTCAGAAAGTTACTTGCTATTGTTGGTAGGATAACTAGTCTTAAAACCACTCTATCGTTTTCCAGTAAAAAATATTGTTTTGAACGTCAACTACATTTCTTCTATACAAATTCGAATCCTAGACATCCATGCTTATTTTTCATTTCATTAATTATATACTTAAATGAAATTCCATCTACTGATGGAGACGATTACAGGTAATCTGACTTATAAATAATCATTTCCAGTAGTAAGTTTTTTTTTCTTTAAAAATATAAGGCTTTTAGCTCAGTGACACAAAGAGGTTAACTTCTTGATGATGGGTGGTGATTGAAATTATGGTCTGACTGGCCATTGGGTGCGAACAGACAGAAATTCAGTTTGATGACTATCTAATATATGATTCCGTACCTACGATTATTTTCTACTTTATACTCACTGAGTGTATACTGCTGGTAACGGTGTTTGATGAAGTATCTAGCTCATACTCTGTTAGTTTGTTTTTGGTCAAATGTGTATCTCATCTATGATATAATCTTCGTAAAGTTTATCGATCAATGATCTAGTATAGTGGTAACATTATCTCGGTCACCGGTCTTATCAACGTGATAGTGATATCATTGGAACAGAGAATAGTCTTATCTTACTGTGATGTCACAGCCCTACAACAACTCATATATATATATATATATATATATATATATATATATATATATATATATATATATATATTACTCTCATTTCAAAGTTATTATGAATTTAGCTAAAAAAAAACTGACTATTTACCCTTTATACTTCATTAATAAGAACACATTTTGGTTATGTAGAACCAAAAGCTGATGTTGTTATCTAAAGTGACCATGATAACTACAAAATCCAACCACTTATTTTAGACAGATCAACTCACACATCAGTATCCATCTAGGCCACAAATCTTTTCTACCATTTCAGTATTAGATCATTTAATAACATCATTTTCATGTCGAACGGTAAGTACCAAGTCTATCAGAGTATCGCCTTTATTATTTTGAGAAATCTGTTTATCTGTGGTAATTTTTTTGTCATTCGATAAACGTAAAAACTTTGGAAATTCAGGGTAAAGATAACGAATCAGCCGATAAGACTGTAAATCTTTATCGATTGTGACATGTATTACGCATGAACAACCAATGACTACATTTATGCACTAGTGTAGTGGGTTGAAAGGTAGGAGGAAGCGAACTAAAATGTGACGTCAGATTATGAAGTTACTAACTAATGATTTGAGTCATGTTGTTAAGTTCAGACCACTTCATTGCGGTTCGCGCAATTACTGTGACCACTGGTCGAACACTTTGGGTGATGTTTTAGAATCGGTTGCAATAGCTCAGACGCATCCACTCTTTATCTTTAATTAGATTCAGAATTTTGGAATTATTTTATAACTCTCATACCACAAACTTATTCATTCCTCCTAAATTATATTATTCATGCTTTATCTTTCTTCCTAGGACTGATATTTTTAACTTGGTGTTCATCGTAATAACTTCATTTAGCTGTACTGATATGGTGTGATAGCCCAATTTGATGTATATACAGGGCAAGTTCTATCCCACTTATGTTTGACTGACCGATTATCACTGGCTAGGAAAATCTCAATAAAAACAACCGCTACTGCAGCCTTGATTTACTACTTATTTCATTTAAAATGAATACCATACACTTAAAACTAAAATCCTATCTAACCGATGCCAGTAAGTATGATACAACTATATAGCTAAACATGTATTTAGAAAATAACTAAATTATCGATAATAATTTATGTGATAGCACAAACTTTAATTGACTTATTAATCTAACTCGTTCAACATGGGTGTGAAGAATGTTAGATTTCATTTAAATCACGAACTGATTCAAGTTAGACCAATCGAGCTAAACCGTGTTGGATGTGAAGCAGTTGCCCACCAAATATACTACAGGAAGGTTGTGCAATATCGTGCGGTGATTAAATTTAGACCACTGGATCCTGACTCACTAGTCTACAGCTTAAGCATTCGTGAACGAGACTGAAAGTTCTAGATTCGATTCCTGATTGTGGATGAGCACTACTGAGTAGTCCCACACTAAGGCGAAACAGTCATCTATTACTTGTCTAAATTAAACTAATTCGTGATTTCAATAAAATTATCCAATAAGATTTTATCATCACTAACGACCAAACAATTCACGTATAGTTGAGACCATGAGTCAATTGAAGCTAGACCACCATGGAAAGTCTGGAAGCACTGGACGGCCGTTTCGTTCTATTGTGGGACTCCTCAGCAATGTGCACCAACAACCCCGCTTCGCGAGATTCAAACCCCGGATCTATCAAGTCTCGCGCGCGAGCGCTTAACCACAAGACCACTGAGCCGGTCAGTATTCAACGGTGTTAATGTGTAACTTTAACTAATTCACGAAATTGAGCGACACATCCACCATTGTCATCATTGAGTTACTATCTCACAACTGAGGAGTCCCACAACAAGACGAAACGGCGGTCCAGTGCTTCCAGACTTTCCATGGTGTTCTAGCTTCAATTAACTCATGACATCAACTATTGAAATTAGTACAATCTCCACAAAACCCTTTCTGATACTAATTCACATATACTTAATCCATATAAAATATGACAATCAATGAAGATAGAGTATATTTTCATTTAATTAATAAAATTTCAATAAGTAGGAAGAATTGTCAATTTTAGCGCAACAATATAACTTATAATCGTGTAAAGTATTTGCATATAGGATATTGAAGGATAAGATTCATATTATTTAGGATTAAATAAAATCAAAAAAGATAAAACTATCATTCAATGATCATGATAATTTACAATGAATCTGAGACATTGATCGAAAGAAAAATAAGAAATAAATTTATTCAATAATATAAAAGATTATGATACGATCTTTTTTTCTCTCAATTAAATGATGTTAGCGCTTTTCAATAGTTGAAATCACTAGTCAATTGAAGCTAGATTACCATGGAAAACTTGGAAGCACTGGATGGCCGTTTCGTCCTAGTATAGGACTCCTCAACGGTGTGCATCCACGATCCCCCCCGCGAGATCCGAACCCAGGACCTATCAGTCTCGCGCGCGAGCGCTTAACCATTAGACCACTGAGGCGGCATCCAACGGTGTTAATGTCTAACTTCAACTAGCGCTTTTATTCAACTTTTAAATCATGATTTAGAATAGTTCAAACAAAATAAATAAATAATATGCAACAATAAGATAAAAGGGTGAAGCAAAAAAACATATTTGAATAACGTAGCTACGTTTGAAAGGCGATGAGTAGTACTTGTAATAATAACATAATAATAATGTATATTAACAATATACATACAAAAGAGAAAAAACAAAGAGAAAATAAACGATAAAAGAGGAAATAAACTAGAGAAACAGAAACAACAACAAAATAACTAAGAATGAAGTTTAAAAACAAAAAATAAGTAATCTGGTGATAAATTACTTAACAAAATAATAATAACGATAATAATAATAATGAATCTGTAAAAGGTACACATACATACATACATACATACAAAATAACTGAAATTATTTGCATTACAGAAGTGATAAAGTCAAAAAGAAAGAGAAATGAAAGAACACAATAAACATGGGTGTTGTTGATGTACTTTTGTTGTATATGGGGTATGTACATGAATTGAATGTACAAATTGAAAATGAGAATAGACAATCCAATTGATGATGATGATGAAGCGTAAATAAAAGTTGTATGATTATTTGATGTGAAAAAGGAAGAGAATAAAAAATGAAATGAGATAACATTGGATATCACAGCTACTATTAATATGAAAAGTACTAAGTAGTATGATAATAAGGGAGAGTAATTGAGGCGCATAGATAATCAGTATTTTAGTAATAAATTATTCATTATTTTTTTATATAATATTCATTGAATAAATTTTTTACTAATTCAATACAAATCTTATTAGCAATTTGGAATTCTGGACCCAATAAACAAAAATTAAGAAATGCATGAGGTAAATCATCTAAGACACGTACATCTACTGAGACATCAAGTTTAGAAAGACGTTTAGCTAACTCTAGTCCATCATCCAAAAATGGGTCGAATTGTGAACACTAGAAAAGAGAAACAAAGATTATATATACATAATGATATTCAATATATAATCATATTTAAAGCAAATATTGGTTACGTTGAATGATAGTTTTGATATCAAATAACTCAAAGGATGGCTTAGAGGTTAACGTACTAGACTTTTGACTACTAATTCACAGGTTCAAGTCCCACTTGATCTACTTTGGTTTGGACAACCAAGTAGTGTCACTAGCCTTTACAAATAATGTGGCCCAAAGACAATAACATGGATAAACGTCCGGTAAATTTCATTTTCAAACAGGTCCCAACTACTTGTTGGTGGGTTAGAATCTAGGTAGTTGCATGAGTGCTGGTGGTGGCGTGAGTGATGAGATCAATGCACGTATAGTGAAAGCCAGAGCGGCTTATGCCAATCTGGGTCATCTTTGGCGCCTTTGTGATGTTAGTCTGGCTGTAAAAGGTCGGATCTACAATTCGTCGGTGAGAGCAGCTTAGCTCTATGCTTGTGAAACCTGGTCTCTCCGAGTTAAGGATGTTAAACGACTTTCTGTGTTCGATCATCGTTGTCTCCAAAGGATTGCTGACAACCAGTGGCAACATGTTAGTAATGCAGAGGTTCGGCATCATGTGTTCGGGCACAGAGACGATAGTGCAATTGGCGTCACCATCTTGAAACACCGACTTCGGTGGCTTGGACATGTTCTATGAATGTCGTCCCAGAGAATTCCACGTCGTGCATTATTTGACGACTCTGGGACTGGTTGGGAAAAGCGGAGAGGTGGTCAGTGTATGACATGGTGTCGTGGCATGAAAGAAAGTTGCAAAGGACTGGCTTCTATTTATCCTTCACGACTCCACGGTTGGGGTCCTAGAGATGGTGCGACACAGTGGCTAGAGACGTTATCAGATATGGCTCAGAATAGAAGCCAGTGGCGATCCTGCTGTAACCTTCTTTTACTTTCTTCATTAAAAGTGGTTGTATCTTCCTTAACTGAAAAATCTCTTCTGATTGTACGTTTCTGTTTCCCCCATTATTATTATTTTTATTACACTACCTTACACTAATCTGTTCGTTATTGTTCTTTTTTTTCTCTTCGAATTCTTATTGTTTTGTGTGGCGCCCTCTTGTACCAATATTTGTGTTCAAACAAATAAAACAAATAAATAGAATCCCACCTCTTCTACTATATTTTAAGTAGACGTGTACAGTGTTACTAACGTTTACACGAACTACGGCCTAAAGCTATACGTATAATTACCTGTAATTACTTAGTGATTTATATGAAACAAATTTAAATTAAAGACAAAGTATTCGTTCTGATGTTTCTGGTGTATAAATCTTATTAACACTGAACTACACAACAGATTTTCGAATACCATATTGTTATGAAGCAGCAAATACTGAGATTGTTATAACTTTCGGAACTATTTTACGGACTATTATTATTGTTGTTTACATTTTTATCATGTAATTATCAGGTAATAAGATTATTGCATTTCTACATTCCCAGTATTGCCAGCTTTCGTTGTACTCATCAATTACTATTTTAAGATTTAATATTTCTTAATTAATCCTAATAATTTCGAGTTTGTTCCGCTCTCTGGTACTTATGGTATGATTGTATGTAAAGTAAGATTTTATATTTTGGTTCAGCGGTGGTCTGAAAGTTCATGTTAACGAGTGTCTGAGATTAATACACAGGGTACCCCACAATATGATAATAGAAGCTTGTCTGATGTGTTCTCGTGTTCGGACTGAAAACTGAGGATAGAACAAGGCGTCCGTATCGGTGGAGCAATAGGAATTAAGATTATCTAGGCCTCGATTCAGGGTTAATATTGCCAGTCAATACTTATTATTGATCGAATTTTAGGTTGCTAGGCTACAGATAAATTAGTAAACACGAGGTTGATAAACAGGATACTGATTGTCAAATTTCCTTTCTAGATATCTATCAATTTGCAGTCATAACAGATATTAAATTCTACTTTTTTAAGGATAATTAGGTTAATTATTTCCAGAAGAAAACATATCATTTTCTTGCCTTCATAGGAACACACATGCATGCACACAAAAACCCACTCCACTTACGACAAAAACAACAGGAGGTAATCCACGTAGCATATCATCTGAAGCTAAGTACGGTGACATGAATCCATTCTGAATTAAATGAATATTTCGAATACGGTTCAAATCAGTTCGGGGTCGATGTGGATGCTTCAATATTGGTGTACATTCATCCTCATTATGGTCTGGGCTTTTTTCTTTCTCTTCGTGAATTATGAAAACATGAGAAAATTCACTTGTAAGGGATAAGTATGAAGATCAAAAAAAGCATCTAAGTTATACGGGACAAAATATAAGTGTAATGAATTCTTTTACGTAACCACTGTACGATTAATCGAAATTCTTGGTGAGGTAACTTATCAAGTACAGACTGGCTTACTCGATTTGGAATTGTATGGCTAACGATGTCCAGTTGTCCAAATTGAAGTAGGTAAAGCAAAACTTGAGTGTGCAGTCTAATGGTTGAAAGTCGGATGACTGAGCCATCGTACTTCATTCAACATTGTCTGTTAGATTAATATAAATCAGGTGTACTGATTGACAAAATTAACTACAAAAAACAAAGCATATTTTCTACCAAATGATGAATATTATAGTTGCTAGACAATTTCTGTACCTCAATACTTGGTCGTATAACATAATGCAAACAGTAACTATGGGGAATTTAATCAAAAATACCCATTTACCATATAACAGTGGAAAATCGGCAACTTTTTCCCTGAACTCATGAATCTACCTTGAATGTTTTTAATCGATGTTACTTCAGTGAAGTCTAATGAAATTACATCTTTTTGTCAGTTAATCATTTTGAAAAGTTTAAGAACGTCGACAATGTAGCCATTATGTATTAAATGTGTCCAGCTGTTGTACTGTCTGATTATTAATACTGATATATATTAAAAATACAAACAAACTGATTAGTCTATTTAAACTTATTACATCAAGTGTTCTTTTATGACTGACTGATCATTGAATAGTAACCAATGTTGCGTATGTCAAGTCCCTCTTAGCGCTGATCGAAATCTAAGTCCAAAATTTCCTGTCAACCACCTCTAACCACCATCTTCCACACCAACATAATCCATGTGATATCGAGTTATTTGAACAACTAGCTACATTGAAGCTTGATCAAAGGAATTAGATTAGCGCTAAAAATAACTAGGCAAACTGACTTTGGTCACTACTCAGTGGTCAATCAATTGTAAGCACATCTCAGTCTTACAGAAGCTCAGTTGTGACTAATAGCTCAGTGGTAACGCCTCTGACTATGAAACTGAGTGATACGTGACTAAATCTGCAAGTTTCATTTCTCTGAAGACTACATATACGCCTTGCTGACAAGTGTAAATAGAACTAAACCAAGGTCCAAGACTTCCTATCGACTATCCCCAAACACCATCTTACATTAAATGTTATCAACTTCATCAGAACAGAGTTTTAGAAGCAACCACAGTATTTTTTTAATATTTAGTACACTAAATGACACGTTAGGATGTAGACGATAGATGCTAAATAACGAACCTGATTTATTCAACTTTGGGGATTTATGTGAGGAGTGAGATTCTTCACTTAACCGACATAAATTAGAAGGCACAGATTGATCTTTTGGATTTTTCAAATAAACATCATAAAAAGGAGACATTGTTATGTTTGAATATCGACGTAAATGTTCAATTTTTAACTCTTTAGAATTATTTAAATCTGATTTCGATGGATTAGACCAAAGTGTTGAAAATAATCGAGACCATATTGGGGAATTTGGTTCAGTTGTTAAGTTTGAAGGATTTTTATCAACTTCGAAATCATCATCAAGTTCATCAGAATCCAATGTTGCTTCGTCTATACCAGCATAAGCTATAAACAATAAAGTGATAAGTCAATTAGATTGATTGAAACATAATTATCTACTTAAAAGTATCGATGCCAAGGTTGGACTTGATAATTTCAAATAAATTGAGCACTGGGTAGAAAGTTAATAATAAATATATTTTATAAGTATCTACTATATTTCTGGGAAAATGTTAGGTTTCACATCAAAATAACAGTAATCATAATATATTAACCCCTCAGTCAACCGATCATAAGGAATATAAAACCTAGCATATGTATGGGTCAGTTCATTTTATGACAATATCTCAGCACAGAGAAAAGAAATGATGAAGAAAATACCAGAGTAGTAAAAGTGGTAACAGTATTAGTGATTGTAGAAAAGACGTCATACAAAATATGAATCAGGAAGAATATATATATATATATATATATATATATATATATATATATATATATATATATATATATATATATATATAGACTAATATAGTATAACACAATTTTAAAACTCAAGACCTAAAGGAAGACAAAGAGTTAGTGTAACTGTGCAATTGAATTTGATTTCGAGTAATATCACCCAGCGTCTTACAACCATTGGTTACGATAAATACTAGTAACCTCCAAATATCCTCTATTTTTAAAGGCCATGCTCCACAATCATCAAGTAAAACAGAACGAACTGTGGAGCAGTATACTACCACCATTAGTTGATAAATGGATGGGTCTCGGATACGCCACAGATGTAAATTCGCGAAATTCAATTGGCCTTTCTTAAGCCATACTGAGATCCTTTCAGACACTAATCCACCAGTTCTGATGAGACTTACAAAAAAGTGATCTAGATAGCCGTGTAGCATTAATAAACTTCGTATTACGTGTGTAACTAGAATCTGAGTTATTAAACCTATGATTGATTAATGAGTTACGGTTAACTTGGCAAATGTATAAATATACACTAAAGTGAGCTTACCCAATAAACACTTAGCAAGAACACCAATAGGAAGCAGGGGATCACAAAGTGATAATAATCTTGAAGGAGATGGTGTAAAAGAAACCAATACGGGCGTATAAGCCAAAAATATCCCACTTGGTTTATTAAGTAAGCCATCTCGTACAGCGCGCATACAAACACCTAATGCCAGATTCCCACCAGCAGAATCACCAGCAAGAACAATTTTCGCATCTGATGTACAACCTAATTTTTCACGATTTAATGTTATCCAACAATATGCATAATAACATTCTTCTAATGCACGTGGATAAGGCGCTTCAGGTGAAAGTGAATAATCAACAGCTATAATTGGACAGTTCAACTGTTCGGCCCATATACGTAGAAAGTTCTAAAATTAAATTAGATATTGACATAATGCCTCGTGAATACATTAAAAAGTACAAATAGATAAGTATCCTAGATGGCATTACTGATTGATCTTACTTAGACAGCTATTGAAAACCAAAAAGCACTAGATAGCTGTTTTATTGGGTTGTGAATGCGCACTAACGAGCAGTTCCATACTGCTATGTTGGGATAAATATTGAGCAAAAACCAGCGTTCAGAATCTTCCTATTTGAGATTGTTCTTTGTAGTTTTGCTGTATGATTATTCAATAATTAAAGTATTATATAATTGTATTGCTCTACCTATAAGCTTTTGTCTGACGCATAAACCATTGTTGTGTGTTTTACTTTTCCTATACCATTGTTAGTCAATCACGGATTTATCATTCAGTCCTCTTCAACTTATGGTTCAGTTATCCTCAATATTGTAGTTCCTCAATTCCACCGATGTTTAGTCAGGATTCTATCCTATATTGTTGTGTGAGTGATTCGTAAGTTTAAACTGAGTAATCAGACGTTATCTGCTTGTTGAGTTCTTCTCTATTCTGGCTGTCGGACGAGTGAGAGAGCCAGTGTGAAACTGCAACCTGGACCAATAGTCAATTAGTGGTACTCTCGGTTTTTACCTCCCATTTAGCGTGTCATTGGTTGGCCGAAGGTCATTGTTGCTAGATAGATAGATAGTCTAGGCAAGCTGATCAATGCTCGGACTAGATCCATACAGTATGATACCACGGGCCCAAATGAGTACACAAGAAAATCTGTTTATTTTACTGACACATCACATACTACAATCAAACAGTTATCCAGTGCTTTCTTGTTTCCAATGGTTGTCTAATGTTAACCCATGATATGACCTAAGAAAACCCTACAACATCAATAAACCCTTTAGAATAATAGAAACAAAAATCAAAATCTTTAAAATAAGTAATGAACATTTTGAATGGAGAAAATGGCTTACATGAAAAGATCAGTAAAGAATTTAGTTTGGTTGATTTTGGATCATGAAACAAACAAACTAAACTTTAAAAACTACATTTGTTTTCAGTTTCATAAGGATAAAATTTGCATTGAGTGTGTGATATCATTCGGATATAATGAATACAATCACTTGAGAATTTATTTGTAAAAAATAGTAAGTAATCATTGTCAAATTTTCAAAGTTGTTAGAATGGTTTAAAGCATAGGTGTTCTGTTTCATTTTTTAAAGTCATAATCACACCGTTTAGATTACCAGATTTACAAGCGCAGGATAATTTGAGTACGAAAATACCTGCTTCGGTTTCGGCACCCGATTCGTAGCCCAGCCCTCACACAAATCGAATGATTTATATAGCGCATATCTATTTGGTGCCTCCTTGTACCAATGTTTGTATGTTTAAATAATAAAATAGTAATAATCGACAATGAAATAGGTAATTTTGACATCATTAGTGATGCTATATATATATATATATATATATATATATATATATATATATAGGTACTGGGTTAAGATTTAATGGTTAGTGATGTTATGGATATTTATCGACTGCTATAGCTTGGAAATTCGTTGTGCTTTCTACGCATTGCTGAACCAGATGCACAGTGTAGTATCACTAGTTTTCACTGGACAATCACGATTCGCAGTTACAGATGAGCACCTACACAAATTAGCTATCTATGTTTGATATCAAGGTTGTCATACATTGACCGCTGGGTAAGGCAACTTAAACCGATGTATATACGTACTAGGTTTCACGTTGTATTTGATTAACTGACTGCTTTGAATTTTCTGACACCTAAACTAAGGTTTTGTCAAGTTTCTAACAATTAAGTAGTTTCAATTAGCCAGTGACAATAAAAAGTATTATGAACACAATAAAGAGAAAGTAAGACAATTTAACAGGTTGTGTGTACTAATCAACAAAACATACATATGTTATTATGTGATAGTAAGGATGCAAATGCAACTTACATCCTGTGACTGAGATGTTAAAGCAATAAATCCACCACCGTGTACATAAAACAATACATAAGGTGATTTATTTGTATTATTATCAGTTGAAGTATTTGAAAATTTAAAACTTTCGTACGAATAACGACGATCATTTGAACTTGATAGAACAACAGATGATGAATCGTTGGATGGAAAGAATCGTGAATTGTACGATAGTAATGGTGATACTGAATTTCTGCTTAAGTGATGATTTGATTGATTTATACAGTTAGGTGATTCAAAAAATTTAGGAGATACAGACGTCCGAGTCCATTCTAAACCAGATCTAAGATGACGACATAATATACGCATTCCTAGTGGAGCAGTTCCAAAATGTGATTTTGGTGGTTCTATCACAATGAATTCTGTTTAGAAAATCAACATAATAAATATGGGAATGACGGTAAAACGAAAGTACGAAATACCGCTTTGATTATCAATTTGTCAGTAAGTCACATGTAATAAATGCATCGGTTCAGGCTGCCACAACATTACACTGGTACAGTGAGATAAAATTATCAAAACAAGTCACAGGTTAGTGGAAGTAGTAAGTATCAGTAATGGTAGTTACAGTAGCAGAAGAGATTAAGTATAGAAAAAAAGGAAACGAAAAGTATAAGGTGATTTCAGAATCCAGGACCTAAGAAAAAGTCAAAGAGTAGATGCACATGAGGAGGATTTGAAGTCACACCACTTAGGGTTTTTAACCGTTGGGCACGATAGTCATGCGGACCCGAAATAAGTAGCCAACACCTACTTGAATGTCTCAGTTCAATGATCAATAACTGGTGTTACATACTGTTTTGACCGCCATCATATATCTTCTGGCCTACTTCTACACCAAACAATATTACTGTAAGTAGGTGTTTGGAGATACTTAACACATCTATCTTAGTTGATGAAAGTTCACTATCTTATCAACCGATTTGACATCTTTACCTAATGCCCTGACCACTAACATTAAAATTGCTCAATCATTAGTTCCAAAATACACCAGCATTGGTTCAAAGACACCTATGGTCCAATATTAGTAACTTACAAATTTCTTATTTTCTTTGTCCATCAAGTACAACAGAGAGAACTGCTGAGCAGTAAGCTTATCCTTTGGTTGGCAGATGGACAACTCGCCTACGCCATAAGTGACGCGAATTGGCAAAGATCAACTGAGCTTCTTAAATTAGTGTCAAAATATCAATTCAGGTTGTGCTATATCCGAGCGAAGATTAAATCACGAGTAACTTCCGAGACATATTAATGGACTATTATTATTTATATATTCTTATGGTATAACTATTCAATAATTAGATTATGTATATTTATATTCTTATTATTATAAGCTTTATTTGGACTTATAATTTATTATTGTACGATTTACTGTTCTTAAGCTATGTTCAGTTTATTGACAACTGCCCCCCACGTTCCCAGCCACTTTTTTGGCTTTATTGTGTACAAATGTTATTTCCTATTTTATGGTGCGTTGCGGTCTGTTTCGTTGATGTATAAACCCAGTATGTCTGAAATAAATGATTCGATTCGCATATTGGAAGCTGGTATTGTTGCTCTGGACTCAAGTGGACCAATAAGGACGCTAGGCTGTTCATACCGGTCGAACGTCATTAGTTTGACACAGTGCGAAAATTGCACAAGTCGTATTTTGATTGGCGGATAAATCACATGATAAAAAGCCAGACATAAAGTCATAACAGGTTGTTTATTCGTTGAAGAAACATTGGAATCTACAGAGCAGTAGTGTGTGTTGTTCTACGGTTGAGGCATATGGATATATATTTTATAAGCTGAAAGTTCGAAGAAAGAAATTTGTCGCGTGATGTCCGTTACAGGAGAACTTGTAATAATATTATACTAAAAGCACAAAAACAAAATGTTTCACCAAGATGCATCAAAAGTTGTAAACAGATAAGGTTCGTGCAGGGAATTTGCATATTGACAAGTAACGGGATATCAGTTGAGATATTTCCTAATGGACCTCAGTTTTGACCACTGAAGTGTACCTAAGCGATTCACGGTTAAGGGTGGGGAGAATCAGCTCCCCCTCTTGAAATGCTCTCACATAGCAACATCAATACAGCCATTGTCAGGGAAGTCCTACTCAATTCCTTCTCGCAGCGGTGGTGTTGTTTACCAAAATGAGAGGACGAAAAGCGAGTATCCAGTGCTTTAGCCGGGTCACTGGGTGTTGAGGGTACATCTAGGGGAGTTGAATAACCCTGATTCCAAACCAACGGTGTACATGGGCTGACTCCAGGATCCTGAGGGAACGAATACCGTATGCACCTACTGTTGGTCACCGTGCACCATGGGAATGCATCTCCCAGAGTTGCTTCACTGACTTGTGAATTAGACATGTGAATAACATGTAAAGAAGACTGGTTTGGGTGTCGTTTTGACAACCTGGAGGCGTAGCTGTGGAGCCAAAGTGATAACTTCTTGAGGTCAGTTGAATACGGTCTTTATGCGAGTACTAATTAATGCGTTAGCTCCTTACTTTAGAAGCCATACTATGAGCGACGAAAATCCGTTGGGTAAGGTGAAGTGTTATTTTTAGGGTCGATTTTTTCCAACTTCCTCCTGTTGTGAGTTTTAATTAGAACAATAACTCTGAGATAAACGTACTTTCATACGACAACACCCGAATATAATGAATTCTATTGAATTAAAATTAAGGCTCACTTAGAACTAAATGATTCTACTAATACACCGGGATAGATGAGAAAAATATATTCCCACGACAGGCAGATTGGGTTTTCTGATACATATATTGGAAACATAGTCCACCAAAAATGTTCGTGGACTGATGGTTAGTAACTTCTTAAATGTTAACCATTAACAAACCTGAAAGAACCTGGTAAGTTTTAGACGTGGTATTATGTAACACACAGACTTGTACTTTTACGTGGCTTTCACCAAAAACACGACTATTGCGTTACAGACATTAATAGATATAAAGTACCGTGGGAAAATCCGTCAATGAAACCACTACTATATAATAACCTCGTTTAAAAAAGTCTGCTTGAATGTATGATTCAATCATTTCTGCCACCAAGACATCTTGCTGTTTTACATTGTTATTTAGTTACATTAGAACATAGAACTAAATTATGGATTATTCACATTAAGACAATACATAAACTTTATTAGAACAACAAACGAACCACTTCCGTTTTCTCGAATATTCATATCTAGAGGTATTTTTAGCGATTTTGTTTGTAATTTAAAAGAGCGAGCTACAGCCATGGAAGGTAGAATTACATTGGGGGCTTCAGATACTACACGTAATTCTGCTAAATTCCAAAACGCTTTACAAAATTGAACACTGGAATTTCGTGTAAGCTTTGCCAGCATCTTGCCGCGGTCTTCAGGGGATAAGTAAGAAGTAACGGACCGATAAACTGTGTTGACTAAGCTGACAATTCCTTGTTTGCTAGTCTAAAATATTTGTAAAACAAAAAACACCGTTATTTACCAGAATATAAGCCATAGATTATGTGAACAAGCCGCTCAAATAATTAGGTTTATAAGCAACAAGTTGGAATGATTGGTGTGGTTAGTCATCTGAATTATTTCCTGCTGACCAGTACTAGGATCTGTGCGCAAATTCTATTGTTTCAAACTGATTTGTATGATGTACTTGGACCAAAGTGAGTGTTCTTTTTCTAGGTAGGTGCATCTTACCTAGTTGCGGGTCATAAATGATACACTTGTCCCAAGCTCTGTGTTGTGGATGACTGACAGGTTGTTCTTCTAGAACAGGACAACTTATCCAGTTGCATAACTCACCAGGTCCTTGAATATGAGCCAAACTGTATAACAGCTCATGACACTATATGCCTGCTCAAACCGAAGTAGGCAAAGCACAGTTCAAATCCGGGATTTCGTGACTGAAACTTAAACTTCTCAACCACTGCATCAAATATATAGGACCTGTGCTATGATATGATTCTACAAACTAATATTTTCTTAAACGACATAATTAATTTTGAAAGCATAAATATTTTGCATATTTAACCTACTTTGGTTTAAATTTAATACGACTTAGTAACTACGTAGAGTTTTGTGCATTCAGCTCAAATTTACACCATTTGAGAGTTAATTAAATTGCGTGACTCTCCTTTCCCCTCCAAATGGTAAGAAGTCAAGTAATTTAATCAGTGAACCTTCGAGTTAGATATCAAAATTTACAAATGAACGGTCTAGTATCGAAAATGGTCAGAGATTTACTTTAATAAAGAGAAAGTAATTTTGCTAAAACAACTTTAATAGGTGTTCTGGTATCATAAATTCAAGTACATTGGACTAAAGTTACTCATATTGAATAAATAAGTATGCTTACCAAAAAGCTATTACCATATCCCGCCATAAACGAATTGAGGAACAGCAAAATTCTCTGAGCACTAGGGCATAAGTAAAAGGCTAGACAACGACCATAAAAATATTCTTGTTTTATACTGTCTGATAGAACTTCTAGTCGGTAGAACTCTGAAAGATCTTCTTGATACTGTTTTGATTTGACAGTAGAATATGCATCGGTAATATTTGTCGGTTTATCATCAAAACTGCTTACATCACAATGTCCAATTTCCGGCAAATCGACGAACTCAGATCGAGGGAAAAGCGTACAAGGTTTAGTGAAACGTGGTAGATAACTAAGAACTTCAAGACACAGGCTGAGCTCCATAAGGCAATTGATGTATGCTATCACACTTTTATGTGTTATACCAGACCTAACGTTAATAGGAAATTATAATCTTGTATTATTATCAAATATGGGTATAATATGTACGATAATGTTTACTATAGTACATGTAGAAATTATTAATTCTTATATTACAAGCAATCCAATAGGTTAGAATACCATCTAAAACCGACTGTTTCAAAAAACCAATACTGAGTATATGTGGGATCACAACCACAACTGTCAATATCTTGTTTTCTTCAAAGTAAACCCTGAAAATCTTAAAAAAAGAAATTTTTTGTTATCCAACAGGTCAAAAGGTTCTGATTGAAAATAGGATTTATATAAGGTAACCTAAACCACTTGATGCTTAGTTGTGTAGCCAATTCAAACAGTCACATAGACAAATCACCAGTGTCAAGGAATGAAAAACAACTGTTCACTGTAACTATGATAGTGCTTGAAAGAGATTTTGGGTCAAATTAATACAACACGACGTTAGTCAACCCTAAACATACACCCCTATAGTTATTTAAAATGACAGTTTCGAAGTACTGGATAGAATAACTGAGGCTTACAAATAAAAAATAATCTGGTCAAACTAGTTTCGATCATTGATTAAATTAGCTTATGAGGGGACAGGAGTTCTCTTGTGAGAACAACATTGAAATCTTTTTGGATAAGTCCCTTCCAGTATATTTTTTTACGACTTATCAATCAACATTGGCAGAAAGATATCGATAAAAGTAACTAAGTGATTGCAGTTTTTCTGTGATTATATATCTGACCAGGCGTCCTCTGATAGACCTAAAACGGTTGTTACAATGAGTAGTCAGTCAGTCAGTAGCAACGTAGAACTTCGTACGTACATCAGTTTAAGTTGCCATGCCACATTAACACACAAATACAATTGTTGATTCAAACCCCATAGTGGTAGAGGTAATGAAAGTGTAAGCAGTAATCGGAAAGATTAAGGTTTGAAGATGTTAGTCAAGGAGTACAATCCAGTGAAAGAGAAGAAAGAAAGGGACATGAGGAATTCAGAAGATTAGAATTTGGGAGAACACAAAGAGTGGATGCACCTGCGCCACTGCAAACGATTTTGAGCCATGTCATTCAGGGTCTCGAACCATCGGTTGTTATCATCTCGTGGTCCCCAACCAGTTAGTCTACACCTGCCAACAAAACCCAGTCCACTTTTTGGTGACTTCATGGATTTGTGCCATGTGTTGGCCTGACTGCCTCTAGCTTTTTTCCAATCTACTCTTACACCATAAAACATCGCACGTCGAGGCAATTGGTGGTTGGGCATACGTAACACATGTCCCAGCCATCTCAAGTGATTATTTTGTGACCTTTATTTTAAATCTCCATTACTCATCTTTCAACTGACAAGTAACTAATAACCATAACATCTTGGTAAAGCATTTTGTACATATACAATAGCGTGAATTCTCTTACATTGTTTACATTCTTAATCAGTTGGTCAGTAGTTTTATCGCCCAAATTCCATTTAGGTGGGATCGGTAGGTCGGTTTCGTGGGTAAATTACTGGTGTAGACGCCACAATCATTCCAACAATTGCATTGATCGACAGCCTTTACGACGGTAAGCAGATCACGTAAACTGCTTCATTAATTTGTTTAAACATAAAAATTGGTACAATGAGGCACCAAATATACATGTGCCACACAAACCTTTTAAACGAATATTTCCACATTCACTTCGTACCTGTAGAATTAACGACCAGTGTCACAACCAAAGCAGAGCCTAGGATGTGTGTATCAGTCAAAGTCACCACATATCAAAGTGGTGAAATACAGTGATAATTCATAGATTTAACAGGGGAAGTAGTTTAGGAGCAGTGTATGGTGGTCAAGCATGTAGATAACTGCTTATTCAGAAAGCTATTTGATTCATGGAGTTGACAGACTAAGTAAAGACGAGTGAAGAGGATTTTTTGCATTAAATAAGAATTACTACATCCAGCTACACCACCTTTAGGGATAGAGATACTTGACAGTGCATCACAGAAGAGCAATTCGTTTGGTCTTGAGATAGGTACTGAAGAGTCATAACTCGTGCATAGTAGAACCATCGAATGAACACTATCGAAGTGAGAAGCCCCGGACAACGAACAAACTAACGGAGTGGACTTCGAACGAATTAATTAATCGAGTCATGTACTACATCTACCTTGACATACTGTGCTGACTCAAGTCAGTCAGTCAGTTACAACGTAGGGCCAGGCACATATATGCATCGGTCCAAGTCGCCATACCTCAGTAGCACAGCAAGATTAACACTGGATTCATAGGGGTGGTTAAGTCAATGGTGGTAATATATAAAAGATTGTAATATAAGGATAGTACAGAAAGAAATAATTAGTTGGTAGGAAGATATGAAGCGATTTTAATCTAATAGTTCAAAGGAAGACAGAGTGAATACACCTAGGCCATTGTGACCAATTCTGAGACATGTCACCAAGAGTCTCCAACCACCGGTTACGATAGTCACGCGGACCCCAACCAAGTAGTCTGCATCTACCAACATGACACAGACCAGAAGTTAGTGACTTCAAGCACTGATGCTACGTTTTAGTTTGGCCGCCCCTAACTTTCTTACGACCATCCCCAACACCGGTTAGCATTGCACGTCGTGGTGATCGGTGTTCGGGCATACGTAACACGTGGCCCAACCATCTCAGTCGATGAAGATCCGCAACCTCATCAAATGGCTTACCACCATTCCCTAATACTCGGCGTCTAACCTCACTATTACTTACCTAGTGAACCTAGCATATGAGAGCAATTCCAGTAGTATTAATTGCCAAAATTTAAGCCACAAGACAGGATCTATTAAATCACTGGGTTTTGCATTAACTAGCGTGAGAAGTAAACTTTCTGACTGGGGTCTTAAGGACTATTTACATAAATAGAGATGAGTTGATATTCGGAATCTAAAATTGTTGTATGAATGCATTCACCCATTATTTTCCAATCCTCAAAAGTATCTTTATTTACTCTCCTACTGACCTTTATAGTAGTTCCACAATGATAATTTCACTTAAGGATGAGTTGTAGAAAAAATTTAAAAGGTTTTAATAGTTTACGAATTCGCCTAAACGAAAATAGTGAATCTGGTTAAATCTGGTCTTACCAGTTGGAAAGGGAATATGAACTCATTTGCCGAATGTACATCAGCAGAACAGCAGAGCATCTAGTAGTGATGGCCAAAAAGCTTCGGATGCCATTCGCCCGCAAAGAGCCGAAATCATAATCACCTGCTATCGAATACAAATATTTAATCCTTGAAGAAAAGCCCGAGTTCAACAGAGCATGAAGTTTTTTTAAAGCATAAACAATATCGCTTTCCGACTGAGAACTTTCGGTATTTTCATCATCTATTTCGAGATTAGTTCGAATAATTGTGAGGTACGTTCTGCACTAAGAAAATATACAAGACTCGACAAGTCGTTATTACTTGTAGATGCAATTCCGAACACAGCCGTACCATTTGTATGCATTCCGAACTATCCAGTGATTCTTTATTTTCATCTACAGAAACCAAACTACAATAAGCAAACAGAATTCGTACTCACCATTATTTCCATTGAACATACTAAATTTTCGATCCATATTGAGTTCGCTGCTAAGTATCCTTACAGAATCGGGTTTCTAAAGGAAGGTATTTAACAATAAAAGTATCATAGAACCTCAAGATGGAATCTTAGTTCATCATGATGCACCGCTGCACATCTCCATAAGCATCTACATCTCGGCAACCCTAATAAGCCCCCAATGGTTCGGAGCATATGACCTCATGTTTTGAGCGATTCAAACAGACTTCGAGCAATAGCTTTTTAAATTTTGGCTATGAAGAAAGAGTACTAATGTGTTGTTTTTCGCTTGATCACTACGCTAGTTCATTTGCTACCTTTTCTCTTGGCTTAGTGATTCGAGGGGCGAGATGCTGCTTCTTATAGCAGAATAGTGAAGTGTCTATTTGCATTGCTTCGTTTTGGGGAGGATAAAGCGTCAGAACGTCACTTTTGTTTTTCGAAGTACAGGATTTTGTTGCATAAACTGATGGAAGGGACTATGATCACTTGAAAAAATAGATGCTTCCATTCACTGACAATTCGATGGAAAGTTGCTAATCATGAGACAAGTAGTCAGTTCTCCGATTATAGACGTTTCGCTATTCTGAAGGACGAGAACAAGGACGTGTCAGATGTAAAAATTAATCGCGTGACCAGAGAGCCTGATCAGATTATCTTTTGTTGTTTTGTACGGTAGGAGTAAACTCATCCCGGATACCGTGTCGCCACACAGTAGCTTTCGATTTTACGTGTTAACTTAGTTACGATTCCATGAAACCTATGACGGTAAATAAATCCCAAAAATCAGTCCCCCTGTAAGTCTCCGACACCAGATGCGGACCTCAATAGATTTAATAGACTCACCTAGCTGACAGAGCTCGGTCATGCATCTGCACACGATCACAAGTGACTACTCCCGCTGAGTGATCACAACCGCTAACCAGCTTAGGTTAGTCACTTCTCGATATATGGATATTATATCAAATGTATCTTTGAACATCCTCGCTTCTGACTACTGATTTCACTGGGTTGGAACGTCTCGATTATAAAAGGTGTTGCTGTTTAAGGTCTTGTCGAATTCCGAAAAATTATGGCGTCGATATATCTGTAAACGGATTGGCCGTAACCACGAAAACTTCAAAGTTGAACACGAGATAACTCGGAGAATAAGTGTTCAAAATTTCACACGAAGAGAAGGCTGATAATGGTGAACGTGAGAACAATTATTTAAATTATTCGGATGGCAAGACAGTCTGGCAGGCGTGGTTATCCTTATATAACTTATCTCTTTTATTCATATGAAGTATGTATTATCCTATCTTCAGTTTAAAGGTGTTATTTTGAAGTACTAGGTGTCATATTGTTAACTGTTACGATACGATGAGTCAGGATACTTATCGAGTAGTGGTTGATAAAATGGGTCTGTCGTGTGCCTAGTTGTGAGTGGAGATAATCTGCAATCAGAAAAAGAAGTTACGTAGGCAGATAAATTAGTGTTTCTGTCTACTAGCGTATTGATGATTAGATTTTGATGTTGTAGAAGGTCTATATCAATGATTGGCAACAACGAAATTCCAGTAAATGGGTTTGCGTAAACCGACGTTAAGGTAAATGTACTTTTTGCCACACGCAGCGATAGGCTTTCCGTTTGCTGCCTGTAGATTTAAAACCGATTCGTGAAGACGGTCGTTACAATTCGCTAGAAAAACGCTAACTTCTGCGCCGGTATAGACGAGGTAGCGAACTCTTGTTATCACATCTGTGACGTATGACAGACGGCTACATTCGTCAGCTACGGTTGCCATTAACGCGTGCCAGCTTGGAAGTTCCCCGAGTTATTTTTCGAGTCGGTCGATGTTGGGTCGGGAAAACTGCAGGGTTTTGTGCAATTTCCGGAGGACTTTCTATACTGATAATGATACCAGCACCAGCCGGGTTATCCGTCTCCCGTGGTCTAGAGACAGATCGCCTACGTGAAGTGCTTCTTCGCAGGGTATGTGACCGTTTACGGTCGTTACGAAATTTAAGATAACGTGTAGGTGTATGACATAACTTTGTAACGTCACTCTGGGTCGTTTGAGGCATCTCTTTGACTGAAAAAAACTGTGAATCAGAAGACTTCGTGATTTCTAAGAGGCGGCCAGTACAACTTGCACCTGTTGAGGAGGTTTGGACAAGAAAAGTTGTTTGAATAGGCCACCATCAAAAATTCTCTGGCCGATAACCTCTCTCAGTCTCTGCAACATGTCTGCCGCAGAATCGTGTTGCAGGTCGATGTTATTAAGGAGTTGGTCTAACCATAGTCGATCAGTTAGGTCTCCGCATTTAAACGTTTCGTAGGGTTCCGAAACATCACTAGTAAACATGCTAGGTGTTACGTACCTGATGAATTCGCGCTGTAGTGCCTTTACTACTGCGAGGAATTGTGCACGTGTGTTGATCGTAGAAGTCATCTGCATAGCAGAACCAGGCTTCAATGCTGCCTGGCTAGAAGAGCATTAGTTGAAACGAAGGTGAGGAAATACTCTTTAACTTAAGTACATTGGGTGTCTGTTCAGTTATGGTGAAATATGAAGTATAAGAATGAACGACTGAAATATATATATATATATCCAAAAACACGGAAAATAACTCAAATGCATAAAAAATTAAAATAAGGCAATGATATATAAAGTCCAAAAAAGGAACAGGCTCACAGTTTGCAATTTGGTGTACCAGATCACGTCGGGCTCACCAATGAAGATGCCACAGGTATCCGGAGTTTGACAACTCTTTAACCAGGAACACTTAACATGAACCTTACCCACCAAGTGAAATCAAAGGACAGGAGCGAGGACGTTCGAAGATATGTTTGATAGGCTATCAATATATCAAGGATCATCTGATCTAATCTGGCTAGCGATTGCAGGGGGTGTTGAGCACGGCGTTCCCACTCGTGATCTGGTGTGGATACATGATCGAGCTCATTCAGCTAGGTGAGTCCATTAAAACTAATGTGGTCAGCATCCAAAGTCGAAGACTTACAGAACTATTTGTTTTGGGGATTTATTTACATCTACAGCATCATACCACTGTCCAAGCTCCTCCAATCGTAATTTTCGCAGTATAGTTACAAAATTCGAGGGCAATTCAGTAACTAGATGTTTTGATTACAGATAGAAGCACTGTAGCTTGTAACTCCTATATTGTCGAGCTATCGGAGGAAATTCGTTCAGTGGTAAGTCGAGACGTAGTCCGGTCTCGGTGCTTGACGGAGCGCCTCCAGTAAGGCGAATCTAGTATCGATGTTGGATGCGTAAAAGTTATTTATTCTGTGGATCTGTTTGCCAATAGACTCTTCCGAAAATTAAGACGAATTGGTCAGAATATCCAAATGGGAATCACTAACGAGAATATTTACTGAAAATACATTACCTGGTAAGTTAACAGATAAGTGAGAGAAAAAACGAGAGTACAAAGGAACATGTCCATTACGTTTAGACCTTTTATATCATTGTAAGAATACTGAGTGTGGTGAATATGAGTTATTACACATGACAAGTGAATTACATGTTAAAGAGCTATCGTTTAGTAACTGTTCAACTTTAGTGTTCACTCAGACATTAATATAACCGATTGTTGTATCCTTTTAGGGAACTCAGAATTATTAATAAAATGGCACAACTTGGTATTTATTAAGCAACTCCTTTAATGTTTCGAATTATTACCGCAAAGACCGAATAACAGTCCACCATGGATAACCAAAACGGTCAGGAAACTCCTTAGAAAAAGAAAGAACCACTGGAATATGTTGATCTCAACTGACTTAGAATATTACAGATCCCGTTATTGTAAGATTAGGAATGCCCGTAAAGCGTTAATAAGCACGACTAGACTATCATACGAAAAACAACTGGTTAGGGATTCTAGGTATAGTCCGAAACAGTTATTATGAAAGCCATACCAGATGAAATTGCTGAACCATTAGCGATACTATTCCACATATCTCTGAGACAGTCCAGACTGCCTAGAGACTGGAAAGACGCCATAATAAGACCGGTGTATAAGGCTGGGAGTAGGGATTTAGTTAGTAACTATAATCTTGTTAGCTTAACTAGTGCAGTTGTAAGACTGATGGAGACAATCATTCGGATAGTTGTTATCAACTATGTTGAAGGGCAAAATCTTTTCTCCAGGGTACGACATGGTTTTCGGAAAGGCCTATTTTGCTTGACAAATCTTCTCATTGCACGAGAAGATTGGGGTGCGGCAAAGGATCGAAATGCTCCTATGGATGTGATTTTCATAGATCGAAGTAAAGCCTTCGTTAAGGTTTCCCACTCTGGTCTTAAATTCAAACTGGAACGTTTTGGAATCCATTATACAGCCGTAGATTGGATAAGTAACTTTCTCCATGAGAGGAGACAAAGGGTAAGGGTTAATGGGGATCTCTCCTCGTGGGTTCCCCAAAGTACAATCCTAGGTCCTATTCTCTTTTTACTTTATGTAAATGAATTGCCAACTGTAGCAAAATCATCCGTTCTACTCTTCGCTGATGACATAAAGATTTGGAGACCCACACATAGTATGTCGGATAGAATAGTATTACAGGACGATCTTAGCTCATTGGTGGCATGGTCAGACAGGTGGTCACTAGAAGTAAATCCTAATAAGAGTGTAGTGATGCAGTTAAATAACTCTGATGAATCGTATGACTATAGACTACGTGGATTCGTGCTACCCAAAGCAAGAAACTATAAAGACTTAGGAGTCATATTAAGCAATGATCTCAAAACCACTAGTCACTGTAAGGCTTCTGCTGCAAAAGGCTATAGGGTATTATGGTCAATTCGTAGGTCTTCCCAGTATTTAGATGATGAAATTTTTAGATTACTATACCCGAATTATGTGCGAATTATATGCTAGAAAGAGTCCAACGACGAGCTACTAAGATGGTACAAGGTCTAGCTGGCCTATCTTATGAAGACAGACTGAGACACCTTAACTTATTTCCGTTATCTTACCGTAGAGTACGGGGTGATCTAATATTGGCCTATCGTATACTGAACGATGACCTTGGTATTAACATGTCTTATGTTTTGCTTCCGTCTAGAACCGATCATTTGAGAGGACATTCGAAGAAAGTTCAAAAACCGAGATCAAACCGTTTACGTCTGGAGTTCCGTTTCTCGCACTGAGTAGTGAATTACTGGAATTCTCTACCGTAACATGTAATATCAGCACCGTCTGTTAATATATTCAAAACGAGTTTGGACCTCCACAGTATAACAAACTGCAAGGAATAATATAGGTCGATAGACCTCCTATCCTTATTACTGAAGACTGAAGACTAAATTCGATAAAGATTTGATGTTTGTGACAGCGCAATTTTTAATGTCTGCGGTTTGGCGTGTAGCCACTACCCATCCGAAAAAGCTTGTAGCTGGGACACTATGTTTAGTCTATTGTTATAAGTTTACGGGGGAAAAATATCGGTACGTTTTTATTTACTTCTGCTCATGTGAATAGAGACTACGTTTTGCACCGAGAAATATGCTCCCATGTATCTGTAGGTCACTCACCTTTGCCTATGATTATGTAGTCAGAAAATTACAAGACCGTTAATAGCACACAACCTCTACGCAGCCTGACTGTGTTTGTAAATCCATTCTCGCGTCGTGGGTATGTGCTAATATTTTATTTTCCAGAGGACTTTTAAAAGAGTTTGAAAACAATGCTGCTCCTATTTTAAACCTATCTGGTCTTGACGTTAAAATGGTTTATCTGGACACCGATTCTGAAATAAAGGACTTCATAAAAGTGCTAGATCCGAGCAGTACTGACGGTGTTTTAGTTGTTGGAGACGACAATTTGATCCAAAAAGTATTTTCCTTGTCATAACACACATTGTTTAGGCAGTTACAAGTTTGTTATCCCGGGACGATTTTAAAGTAAGTCGGATCTCATAGCTAACAAATCGTCACAGACTACTCCTTTGTGGTCATTGCCAGTCGGAGCGGTGCCCGTAGGTATTTGGAATGGGCTTATAAACTCCATCTGTGAAAAAACAGTTGTCCCTAAGTAAGCTAATATAATTTATCCTTGTACACTTTTTATCCACTTTCATATTTCAATGTTCTTGACTTTTATTTCGAATTTGAGCATGATATTAGTTAGTTTGATCTGAATAGGTGTGGATAGGTAATATTAAAAAGAACAATCTAATTCATTAAAGTCGTTGAGCATATGAAATAAATGTTTGTTAAGTTTATTGCTAACAAGCAATATTGAGGGTTATTTCAGGATCTGGCCCGTAACGAACTTCATATTGTACTTCATCTTTTGGATTACTGTTTGACATATAAGTACTACCTCTACTACTATAGGATTTGAATCGACAACTGCATCTCGGTGCTAATGTGGTATGGCAGCTCGAACTGATGTACGTACGTACGAAGTTCTACGTTGTTACTGACTGACTGATTGACATTTTTAGAATCTGAATGTTTTGATGAATCCGTTTGTTCACTACTTAACCTTTCATCAAATAAATATCAAAGTCTAACATGTCTAGTTTGTTAATGTTTATTTTCATTCTTGTTATATGCTCACACATTGTAGATGGTTTTACAACGCTTTACATTCTGTCCTACAACAGAATACTAAAAGAAGAAATGTTTTGGAAGTAAAAGTTATTTCAGACGTGAGTTTATAGTTTTAGTAAATGTCGCTTTTTTCTCTGACTAATTGTTCTCTACACAGTTTTATTTATTGAATCCACGTAAAACCTACTACAACTTGGCATTACGAATAAAATATGATTTTAAAAATGGAATTTTAACACATATAATAGTTCGAATTACTCATATTGTCAGTTCAACTCCCATGAACTACTGGGCGTTTTGTGAGTATGCTTCTCATTTTACGTTTAGAAATCGGTTGATTCATAAGTTTAAGGATAAATAGTCATGTATGTGAATATGTTACTATTAGCGGGACATGGACTGGATTAAAACATGCTCAATGCACGATTGCTTTGGGGCACGCTGATTGGCTAATTCTTATCCAATGAGCACCAGTCGACAGTTGGAGAATACACTAGAATCTTCTCATGTAAAAACTATAAATATACTGACGTTTTTCCCTATTGTGCTTGCATCTTGCTTCCATCTAACCTTGTTATTTGGAATATAATCTCTTTCCTGTTCAACTGTGTTCTGATTTGGGGTCTTGTCGAGTGAATCGGTGTCCGAGAATACTAAGCAATAGGAATAGCTGGGTCATAACCGTAAGAAAGAGATTATAACAGTTACCTTCTCTCTTAATTTTATTATAACTTTAGTTATTTGAGATGATTTCCGTTAAAACGTTTATTTTAAAGGTTCATGTAACATATCGGGTATCTAATGATTAATTTATACACCGTATAAATTTTTCGGCGTATTTTCGTGATGTGTGCTGACTGAAAATCTCTCAGTTCCTAAATTTTAATTATTTAAATCAATGTATCACTGATCTTAAATGTATTTTGAATTCTACTGGATCTCAATCAGAAAAGCTTCTCTACAACAGCTGAATTTCTTACTCTAGTTAGTCAAGCATAGGAGAAGATAGAAATAGTCTCCTTCATTGGTTAAGAGAAGAAGTAAAATGTAGATAAATTAAAATAATCTAGAAAAGCTGAAATATTAGAGGCATATGTTAACTAGTGTTTCATCATCTTCATGAACAATGGGCTAACCAAATTATTTGGAAATCAACTGATTAGTACCAGTAATTATCAGTATTTGTTCTTAAACCTCATGAGAATACAAACGAAAATCTTTTCAACTTATTGTGTAAACACACTTGGTGGTATATGCCTTCAGTCTGAATTCCGTATTCATCCTGGCTACATCACAAAGTGATCTATGCCATTTAAAAAGCTTTTTGAAATAATCAATCTAATCTACAAAGTATCATTCTTTTTACACATTTCTTACCTATCATGTAATTTGTACATCGAAATCATTTTATTTAGGTGACACATAATGTTTTGAAATCGTTTGTTTATAACTTTTCAAATAGGATAGTCAACCAATTGAACAATCAAAGGCGTCATCTGCGAATACTTATTCTTTATTAGGTATTGAATGGAATATTTGGAGAGATATAGAACTTGGTGGGGGTTGTGGTGTTAGTGATAGGCATAAAAAGCCAACAAATCCTAACGATCACCGTGGTGTACTCACAACACTTTCAGTTTCATCTCCTAGATCTTGGAGTCGTAATTTTGGTGCATTGTGGAGATCTACTTGGTATTGGCTTCGATCGTCTGAAAACAATGCTCAAATATATCCTCATAGTGATTCTAAAACTTCATTGAATTTTTTCGCAGATTCTCCAGTCACTATATCTGAAAAAAAGCTGGAAAAAAGTCGTGTGAAATTCGCTCGCCTTACTTATACTCCAATTTGTACAGGATGTTCGAAATGTTGGGAGAAGAAGTTAATGGTAAGTACCTTATCATATTTAGACGCCTACTTACTAATACTGATAGATTGTAGTGGTTACATAAGAAGAACTGGAATTTAGTCAGAACCAAGGACTAGACAAGCACAAGATTGAATACTACTTAATGATGAACTGATGTGTATATCCTAGTTTTATCTGAAGTCAGTCGCCGTATAAACGGCTCATCACTATATCTTAAACTGTGACCTAGTAACTTGTGTTCAGATCGTGTGCGGAGCACCGTTTCCCTCAAGATTGAAATTGGCACGAAATCTAGGTCCAGCGTTTCCTGTCGTCCACCTACAACAGCCTAACATGGCATAGTTAGCTTATCGATGACGAAATATAATAGTCCAGTTTTTCCCCTCAGTCAAATGTTTTTTTGCCATCAGTGTTTAGTATTTAATGTTAATAAACTAGCGACAATTAATTTCCTCTTTTATTTTTATAAATTAGTTTGACTATGATAATCATTAGTAATACGTATGTTGTCACCTCATTTTAGTGTATACATTTCTATTAACACATTGACTGGTGATACATGAAAATGTTTTATCAAATAAAAACCAAGAAATCAACTGTTTTTATTAATTTAACGATTATTGCAACAAAACATTCCCTAAATACTAGAAAATAAGTCAGTTAAGTGAATTTCAATGATAATGCTTCGTTTTCTTGCACTCAGGAACTCAGTGATAAATAATATAATTCGTACTATAGTTAGCTTTTAATTTTTCCCTGTCAGTTCTAATTTCACTCAATCCAGTCTAATTTTAAATTGCTTCTTAATGTTTGTCAAAATGGTTATTATTCAACAAATTTCTTTGAAATAACCATCTTTATTTTTGATGGACAGAGTTATAAAGAATCTGGTCTCGAAGTAAATACAAAGAAATCATCATCTCTATTAGGAAGAATATTTGGATTCTCACTAAGCAGTAATAATAAAAAATCAAATATTGATGAAGTGAAAAGTATAGAAATTCAACAAGAAATCAAAGCTAAGAGTTCCATAGATAATCCTGCATGTGGAGAACTAAAGGAATTAATCGTTGAAAAGGCTTCTGGATTCACAATCACTCCGGAAGGAGTAAGTCTGTGTATGGCAGTAAATTTATGAGTTTTATTGTTATAAAAACAGGTTTGTACCAGTTTCATCATTATTCAGTGACTTGAATAGCTGTAAAGGATAATTGTTCTTTATTGATTTTTTTTACCATCCTATTCGTCAAATGGATGTCAGATCAATCTGTATCTGTGTCGGAACACTAGTCATTGGTTAATGAGGTAGTGTATCTTCATCAATTGAAGTGATTACAACATGTATGCCCAACGACTGCCTGTCTCGACGGGCAATGTCTGGTGTAGTAGGCTGAAAGAAAGCTAGGGGAGACCAAACCAGAACGTGTTATCAGTCCATAAAGTCATTAATACGTTGCATTGAGCCGTGTAGGTAGGTGCATATTATCTGGTTGAAGTCGGGGTGAGTGTCGAAACCAATGGTTACAGACTGTGTGATATGGCCCCGACTCGTGCTCAGTGGCACAGGTTCATACACTTTATTTTCTCTAAATCTCTAAATCCTATGCCTTTTTGTTTCTTTTCTACACCTAATCTTTTTGGTTACTAATGATATTGTCAATACTTCTACAATGCTGATATTTGTCTTAATAATTCTATCTCTGTGATTATGTTATATGGCAACTTGAACTGACACACATGTGTCAGGTTCTACGTTATATGTGACTAACTGACTGGAGCATTAGCCTCAGTTATACACAAGAGACCGCCTCACCAATCCAACTAAACGTTATAGGAGTGGTAGATTGGAGTATGTAGTCAAACATTATTAACAAGTCATTGTGATCAGGACTTGTTTCTTTGGTATATTTCAACAAGGAAGACATCATGGAGTATTAGTGAGGAATTCATGTAGTATGTTTAGCTATGCATGAACTTATATGCTATGTTAAACTTGTCACCTTTGGTAATCAATCCAATTTCGATATAATCTAATCTGTTAACCGAATTTAGTCACTCAAATTAATGGTGTTTTTTGAATGAAGTCAATCAGCTGTATGGTGACATTTGTTGATGTATGATTGAAAGCATCTGGCAGGTTATTTTAAATGAAAATATCGTTTTTGCCGGCAATCGCCACCTAGGTTTATTTTCGATCATTAGCAAACTAATGTTTCATGTCTTGTTAATACATATTACCGATAATTCCTTACAAGCATGAAATCCTGCTCATGATTTCCTGTTGATCGCCTCTAATCATTCTACATAATTCTTTCTTATCTGCCTAAGTATTCAGTGTATGTCCTCTAGCAGTAGTTCAAATTCACTGGGAATTTCTTACGGAGAAGGCAATAAAACAGAAATCAGGATCTTGTTGTTACTTGTATTATCTATCGACTTCCATTTATTAGTCTGTATGCAATTATTTCTTATGTTTGAGCGTTAGATTATCTCATTTACTAGGCCCAGGTTAGTGTAGTTACCTTCAAGCCACGTGCTGAATGTGAAAGCTAACTATACTAACCAGTTGTCTAAATTGATGCAGTTGGACCAGGGTTATAAATCATTCTCTTAGTCTAATATTAAATATAACTGATCATCCAAACCTCATTAGATGGAGCAGGGTTCGAAACCGTATTTCATTTGTTGAAATTGTTTTGACCTGAATAAATAAATCACGTCCTTACCAATGCCTGTATTTCATGTTTTAATGAATACCACACCGTAACCAATCCTTATATCGATTATTCTGTTTAGCAACTCATACTAGGAGTGGTGATGAAATATAATAAGTGGACGTTATTTAATAAATTATCGTATGGATAATCGTAAATCAAAATCTGTATTCAGTCACTCAGTAACAACGTAGAACTTCGTACGTACGTACATCAGTTTGAGTTGCCATACCACATTAGCACACAGATACGATTGTCCATTCAAACCCCATGGTGGTAGAGGTAGTAAAAGTGTAAGCAGTAATCGGAAAGATTATGGTTTGGAGATGTTATTCAAGGAGTATAATTCAGTGAAATAAATTTGAAGAGAGAAAAAAAGAGACATGAATAATTCAGAAGATTAGAATTTGGGAGAACACAAAGAGTGGATGCACCTGCGCTGTTGCAAACGATTTTGTCATTCAAGGTCTCTAACCATAGGTTGCTATCGTCTCACGGATCCCAACTAGTTAGTCTACACCTACCAACATGACTTAGTCCACTTGTCGGTGATTTCATGGATTTATGCCATGTATTGGCCTGATTGCCTCTAGCTTCTTTCCAACCTACTCTTACACCATAAAACATCGCACCTCGAGGCAGTTGGTGGTTAGGCATACGTGACACATGTCCCAGCCATCTCAACTGATCAAGTTTTACTACGTCATCAATCTATTTGTCATCTTACGTGGTACTCATTTCCTACCAACTGCGTTACTTACTCGGTGGTCCCAGGATATACGAGCAATGCTTCGAAGACACCTATGATCGAATATTAGTAACCTACGGATATCCTCTACTGTTACTGGCCATGTTTCACTGCTATAAAGTAGGATGGAACTAACTGCTGTGCAGTAAACACGTCCTTTGATTGGTAGACGGATATCTCGTCTACTCTATAAATGACGCAAGTTGTCAAAAGCTATTCGAGCCCTCTGTATCCGTGCTGAAATTTAATCACACACCAGACCACAAAGACTGATGAGACTTGCAAGATAAGTGAAGCGGTTGACAAGTTCAATTACTTCACTCCCTATCATTAGTTCGGGTGTCGATGCAACCCAATCCTGAAGCAAAATTGTGCATTTCGAGGGAGAAAATCGCATGCTGAACATGCTTGCATTGTTTCATATAGTGATCAGAAGACTGGATTTTGTCAGCGTCTTCACCAAATAGAACTATGTCATCGGCATATTCTAGGTCAAAAAGTGAGTCTTGCGGTAAAAGTGCAACTTGAGCATTAAAGTCACCAGCCACTATTACTACATCAGAGCGCCTAACACTTTGGAGGAGGTCAGAAAGCTTTCTGTAAAACTAATCTTTTACCTCATCTGAGCTGCAGTTAGTAGGAGAGTAAGCGGGGACGACGAAGAGTCAACGATGATTGTTCCTATCTTTCCGGGTTTAGTAGAACGTGGTTTCAGGAGACCGAGAATAACATTCCGAGCACTCGAATCGTTTGCATTAGCGGCGCGAGGTGATAAAGGAACGTGGGGAGGGTCAGTCGTAGAGATAAGAAAGTTATTAGGAGGTGAAAATATGTGTTTCAAGTGAATAAGTGATTTAATTAATTAAATTAGATAATCAATGGTCCGTTTCACGTTTAAATACACACTTGGTAGTTTTGTGTAATCCATTTAAATATGTACCGATAAAAATGTATATGTCTTTAGGATCACATTCGTTTGGATATTTTGCGTCGTTCCACCAGCTATTGGGATCATATACAACAGTTTCGCTCATGGCTCCTTTCTCAACCGTATTCATTTAAATCTGGTAGTCAGGTAATATTGTGTGATAAATTGCGTTTGTTTCCTGGTCAAACCGAGGTGAGCTTTTTTCGTTCCTCTATTATTAAACTGTTATCAAGCTAAACCATATCTTTATTTTGTTTCATGAATGTTGGTTTACAATGCTTATTTGTTCATTCGTTTGAACAATAGGAACCTTGTGCCGAAATTTCAGCGTTTTTGTTGATTAAGAGACAAGCGGAGATTATATACTGGTGAATATTTCTTAGTGATTTAATTCTAGTAATAGAGTTTGGAAAGTTATGAAAAATCAAGGCGTCAAATTAGTCCGAGTTGTTGGTTATCTAAATTTCTAAACTGACAAGCGAATTAATTTAGCTTCTGAGATTTTAAAAACGAGGTTTTTTAATTGTTCGACTCAAATTAAACACAATCGAATGATAATTTGGTAATTGTTAAAAACTTGTATCTTATTGTTCCGTTTGTTTAAATATCTAAATTTTTCAAACTCAACTGTTGGCATCTAACATGTAATTTGATGAAGGTCCGCCATTTACATGTTTTGCGTTATCACCTCTTATAACTAACGTGGTCTCGGATACTGTGACTTGTTCTATGTATCGATTTGTGTAATCATTATCAGTGGTTTTTTGTACTTAATTCTATCTTTACTTATATAGTATATTGGGGTTTTTTCTGTTAATTCGTTTGTTCACTTTAAATTCTTTCTCTGCTACTCAAAATTTATATGTACATATATGTTCATTGTTATAGAACGAGTTTTATTGGATTGACAACGACTACTTTGAGGCCCACCCGATTGAAGTGAATTTGCGCCGCAACGCTATCAATCTTTTCATGTAATTTAATACTTTCACTTAAATAAACTAGATTGGTTTTCCTAGTTTATTAATGTATAATTGAAGCTTCTCTTTGCTCTCTGATTGGGAACTCAATTTTACGTTCAAAGCAGTCCCATTATATAGACGTAATTGAGCAAGTGGCGATTTGTGTTGTACTTTGAAAGCTTACCACACTAATTCATTACGTATCTCATAAGGATACCTGGCTTCATAGTTGAAATCTGTCAGGAGTCCATGGTACAGTGCCAGTTCATCCATTTTCGTTGGTTACGTTGAAGTCAAGCTCTGTTCCCTTTTGTCTGTCTCATAGTTGGTTTTATACTAGAAGAATATTGCTTGACAGACTTGTCGTGTTTTGGTTATGGAAGGTTTCTAGTGCGTTATCACCATTGTTATTATTTTTATACAGGCATTGTGAACCACGGTTGCTGTTACAAATAACTTGTCGTGTAGTTCGTCTACGCTACTATCAGTAAGTGGCATGGGAGTCAGAACACTTTCCGCTTAAAGTTTACTCATTACTGCCGGTGTGTAATTACCAATCTTAGTACTGATCATTTTCGACTTTGAATATTCCATATAATCTTTTTATTTGATCAACTGACAGTGCTACAAAAAGGTCAGTGGTAGGTTCGGATAAAGTTAATGAAGGGCCTGTCTGTAGTATCATTAAGCGAAGACTAAGAAGCCAGTTGTGGTACATAGATCCCGAGAATAAGTAACTTTATAGGTCTATAGTGGTGACGTCTGACACACTTGACAAAATAATCGTGAGCACATATACAAGAACCAGTGATATGATATGTGATAACACATCGGTCTATAATCATAATAAACATTCGCGTCATGTCACTCTGTTTCCCGCTTCACTGGATTTTAGGTCGTAACAGGAAGGAATTTGAAGAGTAGCAGTCACGGATATTTCGTATTCGTTATCCTCTTTAAACCCAGACAATCAGCTTTCCCCTAAGTACAATCGAAAAATAAATAAATCGATTAGGGGAATCGGCTCGACGTTTGACTATTACCCATCAGTTGTATGAAGACTGTTCCCCATCACAGTAGATTGTCTACCATCTTGAGTAAAGAATCGTGGTCAGACAGCAAAATACCTGTCCATCATGAATAAAGTTTTCTTGTATTTCCAAAACCACCTAGTCAATGTGTTTTGATTTCCAATGAATTCAGGTCTTGGAAGTCAATATAATTGTTGTCGCAGGAACTTGGCTCACCGTAGATGTAGACTGTTCTGCCATCATTGGAGGTTACATCCATGTTGGAAGTGATAGAGTTTTAAGTCGCAAGGGAGGAGGCATAGTGTTGTGTGTTAGGGATCACTTCCGTATACAGTCGATTGTATCGGTGGCAAATGTGAGGTAGTATATTGCAGAATTACGCCTAGAAACGGGTTAGTGGCTATAGGAGGAATGTACCGTAGTCCGTGTTTTCTCGTTGACGACTTTACCTTAAGACACAACTGTTGTTGGAGTAAAGCAGAATGTTGTCTCATCATTGGAGATCTCAACACACTGCATATTACCGGACAGGGCCTACATAACCGGATGGGTGTTCCGATTGCGACCTTCAATCGATCATTATTCAGTGTTCTCGTGTATCTGCTTCACTCCGACCCTATATTTGGCGAGCTAATATTCCGGCAATCCACTGACTAGTCGGTCGATACGGATGGATCGATCGAAGACGAATGGAATAACTTTGAGTCTACATTCGAGCCCGTAACATCACCGTTTATCACATGGTCAACACGTAAGCTATTACATTGCCCTCCATGGATTACTAAGGAAACTCAGAAGCTATTGAAGCGTATGAAACACTTCTGGGACTCACTCTCGTCAACATGACACGCATCATTTATATGTGAATATAAAACAATCCGGCATACATGTAAATTCCGTACTACTTACGAACGACAATTGGCATATTGCCGTACTTGTTCGAAACGATTGTTTTCGTGCGTTAAACGGCGGGTGAAACGTAGTGATGGTATTCTCCCGTTACTGCTACACGGAAATTCAGATTTACTAGCTGAATCAGATCGGGCAAAGTCTAAGAATTTTAAAATATTTGTCGGGATCAACTCTGTGTATTGTTACAAATACTTGTTCTTATAACACCGCTCAGATATCAGCTATAAGATCTGCACATGTGACTGAGCAAACTGTTCTCTCATTGGTAACTAATCTTGAACTTTGCAAGATACCGGGCTGTGATGCGTTACATGCACGACTGCTGTGATCTCTCGCGGAAATCATTTCAAGAGCGCCCTTGACGCTCTTCAACATGCAACTTTCACTCGCTCAACTCCCTAGAGACTTGAAAGACGCTTTGATCAGTCCTATATTTATGGATGGTCAGAGACAAATCTTATCTGACTACCAGCATAGTCGATAAGTTACTTGAAAAGATATTTCGGTTCAAGGAACTAAGTCACATAGATTCACACAATCTGTTAACTCCCGACCAACATGGGTTTCGCAACGAGCGTTCATACTTGAATAACTGACTTATTGCGAAAGAGGATTAAACAACGACCCTAGGAAACAGTCTGTTTGTCGATGTGATATTCATAGATTTTAGCAAAGCGTTTGGCAAGGTTTCACATTTAGATCTTATGCAGAAGCTCTCGAGCTTCGGAATGATAAATGCTGTACAAGAATAGATAAGTAACTTCTTATGTGACCATAGAAAGAGAGTGTCAATGGAATGCTATCCGAATGAAAGTTGGTCAAAAGTGGTGTATTACAAGGCACCATCTTAGGCCCTCTACTTTCCCTTCTATACATTAATGAATTACGGCTTTTGCTTGAGTTGTCGACATTATTGTTTGCGGATGATGTAAATGTCTGGAGAACAATAAGAATTAAGGCTATGCATTTTGATCTCCAAGCTGACTTAAACGAATTGGTTAGATTGGCTCGAGGTTGGGACTTAGAAGTTAATTCTCGGAAGAGTGTGCTCATGCACATCGGACACGGTAGTAGTTTTAATTATACTATTGATGGTCTATCGGGGTCACCAGTTTCGTGCCTTTAGGTAACCCTCGTGCTATGGACAGAAGAAAACAGACTAGTAGTGATAGGTCTTTATTAAGATCTTCGCGAAGTCACAGAGGAGCGTGAGATAACCTGTTCGGACAAACAAAGTCTCTCGACATTCAATATAAGATAATAGGAAATATAAGGCCTTTGCAAACTAAGGAAGTGAATGAATGCTTGAACTCTACTGTTTTGACATATGCTTAGTTGTTTGAAGTCAACTCTTAACCAATCAACCTAAACTGTTACACATTCCTTCCATGCATTCAAGAACATGAAGACTTAGGAGTAATAATAAGTCATGACTTGAAAACAACTACGTGTTGCAACACAGCTGCTGTCAAAGGTTGTCGTGCGTCATCGTCACTTTGCCGAGCATTCAAATGCTTTGACGAGGAAATGTTATATCCCATCTGTGTAAGTCCACACTTAGAGCACTGCATCCAAGCAACTGGTCCTTGCCTGATAAATGATACTAACTCACTTGAGCGTGTTCAGCGTGTGGAAACAAAATTAGTTAAGGGTCTTTCTAAACTGTCTTACGATGAGCGCTTAATATGCCTAAACCTTTTCCCCTTGTCGTATCGTAGGATGCGGGGTGAATTTCTACTGGAATTTCGTAGCTTTAGTTATGATTTAGGTGTCAATATCTCTTATCTTTTTGCTCCCTCCATCATTAATAATCTCTGAGGTCATAGCAAGTAGGTCCACAAATCGCGATCTAATAAATTTAAAGTGAGGTAGCGTTGTTCTCATCAAGTAGTCAATGTCTGGATCGCCTTACCCAAACAAGTGGTATCAGCCCCATCAGTGAATATTTTCAAGGAGAATCTGGACTTTCACTGGAAGGCAAACTGGTTCACCAACCTACTACCCTTAATCCTGAAAACTGAAGACCTTCAGTTTTGTCAGCATAACTGAGCTAAGTTATCCCACTAACAACAGGCACTGGAATTTCAAACGGTTGAATGTGTCAGCTTTACAGGACTATCTACAGAAGGTGGATTGGGATGCTCATCCTCAACTGTATGTGAATGCTCATTGGGACATCTTAGTGCACACTCTCTTCTGTGCTACAAAGCAGTCAGTTCGTCAAACGGTCCAATTTAGCTACAAGCAACCTACAATCATCAGGAACCGCACCCTTCGCCTGGTAAGCCGCAAAAGGCATTTTTGGGCAGAATACAAACGAACTGACAACAACGGAGCGTACAGGCAATACAAACATATAAGGGACATATGCACGAAGGCTATTAGAGAAGACAGGATTCAGTACCAGATAAAGCTTATGGATAAATTTGTCTCTAATCCGAAAGGCTCATTCCGTTATTCAGCCTCTCTTTGTCAAGCTAAAACTGGAGTTTCCCAACTGCTAGGTCTTAACGGCCCGACCAATAACGACGGCGACGCCGCTAACCTTTTGACTGAACGATACTCTCCGACATTTCAACCGACCCACATCAACTTCACTGATGACAGCTTCATCTGCGACTGCACAGAACTTTCTGAAGTGAACCTGAGCGCTGACTTGGTGTTCCAGAAACTGCAGCACCTAGGAAATGACATTTCTCCTGGCCCAGATATGGTTCATTCTGCCATACTGAGGGAAGTAGCCTCAATCCTGGCAACGCCGGTTGGCGTGATGTTTTCACACTCGCTAAGCCGTGGCAAACTACCGGAAAAATGGAAGCTGGCTCACATCACCAATTTTTAAAGGAGGTCGAGGCAGCGAACCTTCAAAAATCATGGAGTCCCTGATATGCGATGGTATACATGACTATTTACTGTCCTTAAATTTCTTCTCACCCCAACAGCATGGTTTCAGCAACGGTTACTCTTGTATAACCAACCTGCTGACTGCGGCGGACTGATGGACAAGCATCCTCGATCGCAATGGGAATGTCGATATCATTTACCTTGATTTCTAAAAAGCTTTTGATAAGGTTACCCATATATTTCTTATCAATAAGCTCAAACGATTGGGTATCAGACCACCTCTAATTGATTGGCTCACTTCAGATCTGAAAAATCCACATTTTAAGGTCAGGGTTAACTTCAGTTTATCTCAGGCTGGAATTCGCTGCCGGTCGAGCTAGTCCAAGCGACTTCCCGGGAGTCCTTTAAGAGGCAACTTGATCTATTCTTAAGGACTAAGGATAGTATCATACTATGATTTACCAATTTCTTTTTCCTCTTTTATCATTAATATACCTAGGTTCATGCATGGGAGTTTTGGGTAAACATTTACTGCACGGCCATTTTTGTATTTTGTTTTTCCGAGTGAAATTTTTTTTCATTCCTTTTGAAAAAATTTCTCATCCCCATCTTCTAATAATTTTCATTCTGTTCCGTCCAATCAAATAACTAGTTTTGAGTTCGTTATAATTGGTCGTTTATTTCTTAAAATCGATATAAAACATCAGGACATGACGACAGAGCACATTTTCTTACAATTATGGACGGTAGTAACATGTAAAGTACGAGCTCTGTCGTTCCGCACATTGTCACAGAAACCGGTAACTTATTCTTGAGCACATTGTATCTCGTAGCGTTCCAATCTCTTGAAGCGTTGAAGAGCGCCATTAGAACGTATGAAAGAGCCACGTACTGCCATTATGTGGTAAGGGATTCTCATTTCCATAGAAATCGGAAGCCGTATATTAAATTCGTATGTTGGAGAAATGGTGGTAGAACACCTAGCGGTTCCTCACAGCCGAGCAGACGAACGAGGTAATTTGATTAGTGTTATTATAATTTTTCATTAAGGACTACCGTGAACACTCAATGTCCTTCCTTCGTATTTTGTAAGTTACCAACTGTCAAAATGACGTCAATGTGGATGCAACGTTAAGCAATGACGAGGAAGAAATTGTTTCGATTAGCTCAGAGGAGTTCACTGAACGAGACGACGACAATGACGAAGACGCGTATGACAACAGACTTTGTGATATTTGTAATCTTGCGCAACCGCCACATGAAACTGCTGATGGAAGTACCAGGATATTTTGTCCATGCGAAGCAATGCTTCATTTATTTTGTGCCTACGACCCATCAACACACGTCCATGGAATCCACTGTCCCATGTAGGGAACTATAATGGAATAATACCAACGCCTTTGTTCATGAAATTCGGAACTGTCAAGAGAACGAGTAAAGGCCCTTTTCAGGGCCACCCACAATGTGATTTGAATTATTTTATTTCAATTCCTTATTTCCATGGCAAAGGTCAAGTGATGAAACCATCAAAATTCATTTAAGATTAATAATCATTATGTGATTATCGTCCATGTATTAGTAAACGCTTTTTAAGCTTTGTCAAATACACGGTTTAAGTAAACGATTTCGTATAGGAAATGTCATCTCATGAACACTTATCTGTCTAACAATAGTACATGCAAAACCTATTCAGAATGTTTCAGTGTTTTGTCATATAGTTCATTAAATGATTGTCTACGGTTGCTTCATCTGAATTATACATATTTTGCAACCAGTAATTTATCATGATGATTTATTGATATGTTGATTTGTTTCTCCGATTAACAGACCATGTGTTACTAAAAAAACTTATGAACACACTTCGTTAATAATTTGTTTATTAATTGGGTATTCAGCATTAGACAACCGACCGAATTCAGTAATCACTATGATCAAATATTCAAACCGATTTTCAGTTCCCTTTTTCACTCAACTTTCTTTTTATGTGATACATATAAGTACTCGTGACATTAAATCACTTGATCGGAAAACAAAAATTTATCCCAATACACATTCACTAACAGTAGGATTGCACGGTAATGCAATTAAGTTAGTGTCTTTTTCTTCAAAAGTCTAAGTTCTTTTTAAGACTAAGATTACACAAAAAAGAATTATTCATTATCATTAAATTTCAAATGTAAAAATGCAAATTCTGACATCCAATCACAGCTCCAGATGCGATTTCAATTTCAACGAATCACATTACAAAGATGAACAGTTTACGACCAATAACAAAATTATTAAAGTTAACATAATGTTTGTTCATTATCACTTGAGCACACACTTGCAAAACAAGCCCAATAATCAACGATACCTAATTTTTTCATTCACACCCCACAATTGTTTTGAAATGGGTGGTAGGGAATCATTTTGACCGCTCACCTAATGTCAACCTCAACATTTCATAACTTACCATCTAATTGTTTTAATGCTGCGACAGCATCTAATAGATCAAGAAAGTGCACGAAAGCATAGACACGGATTTTTTTAACACGTTCAACAGCATCAATTGAATTAATTGCGTGGTTGAAATGATCCTTTACCGCATCTTCTGGTGTATCTAACATTAAATTTCTGACGTATACTGTACGAACCTATACAAAGTGAAATCAATATATATATATATATATCTTGCGAAATACTATGAGTAGTATAAGTTCAATTATAAAATTTAATTACATTTTCTTATAAGAAATCTTGATGTATACCAAATACAATTAACGTTTATACAGAATTACATTTACATATATACACTTGAAACTTCGTGAAAATGGTGTCTCAACAAATCCAAGTATGTACTCTCAACAAGTCCTCAACAAAGCTGTTTCATGTTGATATTATAACCGATTTCTATTGTACTTTTCGCTGTAGAGACTAATGTATTCAAAGACAACATTTTGTATTGTTTCGTGCACACATATCAGCTTAATTTGTAATGATTTGGATTCGCGTAGCTGAAGAGAGACGACTGCGTCAAGTGTGATTCGATAGGTGCATGCTTTGTTGTACGAGAAAGTATTGCTTTTCCCTTTATGTATTTTGAGACCTACTGCTGCTGAGGCTGCTGCTACACTCGTTGTTGGTGCATGTGTGATAAAAGAGCCAGATGATCTGCGAAGTCCAGATCGTCCAACTGCATTCTAGCTGTCCACTGTATCTAATGCTTCGCCCCAGATGTTGACGTCTTTATGATCCAGTTTCTTTGACACTGCGTAATTGATTAAAATTAATGGAATATCGCAGTAAAAACTATACATATGTATTCTCGCCTGGCTTTTCAGTGATATCTGTAGAAATTAAGTGAGATGGATTGCCTTAGGACAAGTTTGCAAGAACTCTATTAAGATTGTGATGAAATGTTGGAGAGAAGCGCAAAACTCGGAGGAAATTTTGGGAGGAAACACGAAATTTTTCACAATTTTGAGGTTTCATTAATAAATACAAGTCGACTTCCTCGAAGTGTGTAGATTCTGGTTTCTGAAGTTGATGAAAGATATAATGATGTTTGTTACAAAATCAGTGGATACAATACTTGAAGGATTAGAAATGTAGTGAAAAGTAAGTTAGTATTTTGTATGATTGATTTCTTTCTGTATAAGGAATGAAATTACATGATTTTTTAAAATAATCGTATCATATTACCTACCAATTTATAGTAGTAGTATGTTAATTTTTTTAAAAGATTTGTAGGATCAATAGGCTGATTTCATTTAGGTAACTATGAGGGTAAACTCATTTTTAACATAATATTTTCATCAACTTCACGTTACGGTTCTGCCTAATCCACAGCAATTTGGTGTCTCCATAAATGAATTTGTCCAGGAATTACTTTACGTCGAGCCATAGCAGCTGTTTTGTGATTTTCATATTCGACAAATGCAAATCATTTATTCTTGCTTTTATCAGCTACACTTGGATAAACAATCACATTTTGCACGCCATCATTTACTTTTCACATTTACAACATTAATTCATCTTTTGCTTTCAATTTAGGTATAACACCGATGAATAAATGACAATTATCAATACTGAAACAAACGCTTCATATTTTACCTTTACGAATTTCATAACAATTTAATTCATTTACAGCTCGTTTAGTATCATCACGATTAGTATACATACAAAAAGCATAACCACGATTTAACCCACTAACATCCACCATTATTCGAGACAGATAAAATTTTTTTTGACTAATTCAAATACAGGAACTAGTTCATCTTCAAACCAATCACGTGGTATTTTACCAATGAATACTTCACAACCATTTGGTCATTTTGGTCCATACCAATTCGGTGATGGACTATAACAACGTTGATCCATTTTTTGTAATAATGGATAAAATGTTCTCTCTGTTAATGTGACTAGTGTTGGGGTGATCCAGAAAACGTCTGACAGAAGACAAGCAAGGATCAGGAAAACACTAAGAAGCATTTTATCCAATCAACGTTCACTTGTAGTTTATCCAAAAACACCAAGAAAGTGAAAAGTCACATGTAGAGTTTCTGATTGTCTGATTACAATACTGCTACTATGTTAAGTAGCATTTGAGAATCTTCGAAAAACCCATGGAAATCTGAAAATACTATAAAAACCCTATATTTTCTGTACTGAAACAAACCTTTGGAGTAAAGTGCTTCTCGCATAGTTTGCGTCTTTTCTCTCGTTCTCAGGTAGCTGTGTAGTTTTAGCTTGGGGTTTACGAGGATAGCTTCGGAACCGAATGAAGCGTTCAAATTAACAAGACTTATCAGTGGCGACGGGAAAACTACAATGAATATTTCTTTGGAGCAAATAGAAGCTTCTATGGAGCGTCAAGAAAAGAGGTTTGAATAGTCCCAAATCAGAACCATGGAAGCCCTGATGCAGAATTTGTGCCTGTCCCAGCAAAACCCTTCTGGTGAATCACAAGTATCTCATACTGATTCAATCATTAATGCCATTCATACTACTTATAGTATTTCACATAATATATATATATATTCAAGTAATAAATAAAATAATTTTACTTTGTATAGATCCGTATATTGTACGTCAGAAATTTAATGTTAGATTGTGGTGGACCAAAATGTATATTAATTGAAAAAACAGCAATAAAGTTATTATGTCCAAAAGTTAATGTAGCAATAAACAACGCATAAGATAGTAACACAAATAGAAGTTTAGGGACGTTACTTAAATCAGCAGGTTGGAGCGTGTCCTGTTGGTTTTGGTACCAGAATCCACAATTATAGGTAAATAATAATTCCAATGAGACGATATGGCTCCAGTAGTATATCCGAACGTAGAAGGTAATGTGAATGTTACAACAGTCCATAAATATACATAATTGTTATTTAATCGTTCCGTTATCATATTCACAAACATGATAGCATGAGAGACGTATGTATAGAAGTGTATTTAATTATGAGCAGTTACCAATGTCATGCTATGTGGGATTCGAAAACGGAAGGAAGAATGTAAGTATTCAAGGTCATATACTTGAACAACAAGTGCAATCGATTAATGATAAATGTACAGATTGTGAGAATTGGCAAAATAAATGCAAAAGATATCAAAAACAAAATAGGTTTATTACGTCTATCTCCACAGATATGGTTAGACGGATTTAGAAGATAACATCGTTCGTACAGGAAAACATTATTATCGATGAACAGTCTTGCGGTGTTTGAATTAACTAATGATTCTTTTGTACTTGTTGAATCATTCGATTTCAAATTCCAAATACAATACATTCGTTTGTGCTTGTATCGTAATTCTTGATTCAATTGCGTTAATTCTAGGATTCCTAGTTCAAACTACAATTCAAATAATTCAAATATTATAAGTCTTTACTTGGCTTGAACACATCATATACTTCGAACGTCCTCCTAAATCTATTCGGGTTAGGGACTGTCACTTGACGATTCAGTCAAGATTACTTAGTTGAATATTGCATATAATCATCTCATCTACTTCAATTCTACTTATCTAATATGCGTTTTCTCACAAGAAATATTCTTTTTAAAAACACACTGAAATAGTAGTGCAAAGCATCTGAATATTTCTGATGACCTCAGTTGTTTGTAGAAATTTCAATGATTATACTTTCTCTTCATCTATCACCTCATTATATTTAATTATTCAAATAATATGGTATTCTCTATTGTGTAGTGGGCGTGATATGAATCTTAATTAGGATGAAGAATATCACTTTCTAATAATGTGTTTATGTGACTGACAGTCATCTACTCACACAGAACAGAGATGAATGGAATTCTCATTTTACAAAATATTACTGCTTTTGTGAAAAGCAAGTAAATTGCAAACAAGTAATTTGACAGTCAATTCATAGTTAGTCTTGCTTCAGCTATGGATAAACACTGTAACCATTTACTATCTAATTCCGAATCAGTCTAGTGATCGTGATGATGTCACAGGTATTCAGTGTTTGACAACGCTTTTACCAGTAACACCTTCTAATATAATTCGTTCCCACCTAGAGAAATCAAAAGACAGAGTCGAGGAGATCGGAAGAGTGTATTTGGCGATTACCAATATATCGGATTTCTCTGATCCAATCTGGCTAGCGATTGCGGTAGATGTTGAGCACGGCGTTACCACACGTGATCTGGTGCGGATGCATGACCGAGCGACTTCAGCTAGATGAGTCCACTAAAACATATGGTCAGCATCCAATGTCAAAAACTTAGAGCTATTTATTTTGGGGATTTATTTGCCGCTACAGACCACTCCCCCCCCCTAGTGGGGCAGTGACGACCCTAAGACGTGGCTAGCCAGAAGTTTAAACCCAACGAGTTTGTCGTTGGTAAACACTCTTCTGATAACTTACTAAGTGTAGCAGCGTCTGGTCGTCTTTCCTTACTATGTGGGACCGAGGTACAACATAGTTACAACGAAAATTTCGACTCCTCGTAAACTGCATCGTACTTTTCCAGCCGTCCTGGAAAAGAAAAAAGAAAGTGTAAGTGCATGTCGAAATACACTCGTATGTGCGTAAAAACACAATGTCGGCGAAAAAATGGAAAGTATACTCAGGCACACGTAATAGCGTTAAAAAAACGTTTTTTTATGTTTTGTTAATTTTTTAAATAAAAATATAAATATATAAGCATTTTAAAATTGTCTTTTTTTTAAAAAATTATATATCGTAAAAAGAAAGATCGAGATAATATAAAATGTCGAGTAGTGCCTTACGTGCAGTAGTCGTTTAAATGTTCTGGAAATCTTACTCTTCTTCCAGAACGCGTCGTTTTAGGTATATTTTTAGATACATTCGGAGTATCATCGCTAGTGTTGGTTGTCGGTTGAGGAATTATGAGTGTAGGAGTCGTGTTGTGCGATTGTACCGAAGGAAAGTCGACGTGAATAGGATTTCCTTCTAAATACGCTGTTTTTAAGCAATCGATGCTGATGCTATCGTTGGTTCCGTTCTTATCGACTATATAGTACTTAGATTCCCGTTGAAGAACTTTGAAGGGTCCTTCGTATGCTGATTCGAATGGTCGTCGATGCGAGTCTCGACGAACGAAAACGTGTGTACTATATCGTAAGTCAGGTTGAACGAAAACATCAGTTGACTGAGGTCGAGTGGAAGCAGTTTTAACTGAACGCATTGCGTTTGTAAGTCTGTTCGTGTAGGAGCTTAGATCCATGTTCATTGAAAAGGATGAAGGATCCACGAATTCTCCTGGAAGTCGAAGTGTCGTTCCATAAACGGGTTGAGCCACAGTGTATCCAATGTCAGCTTTCACTGCATTGCGAATACCTAGTAAGACAAGTGGAAGAGCGTCGGTCCACTGTGAAAAGTTTGCAGCTGATAGCGAAGCTTTTAGTTGTCGGTGAAAACGTTCTACCAACCCGTTTTTTTGTTGGTGGTAGGCGGTCGTTCGGAATCGAGTGATTCCTAAAAGTGTGGTCAGACGACGGAAAAGTTCAGATTCAAACTGACGTCCGCAATCTGTAGTGATGGTTGAAGGGCAGCCGAAGTTTGCTACCCATCGCTAGACGAAGGCGCGAGCCACTGTTTCAGCAGTAATGTCCTTGATAGGTACTGCTTCTGGCCATCGAGTGAAACGGTCTACGCAGGTTAAGAGGTAAGAGTATCCATTTGAATCTGGTAAAGGTCCTACCAAATCCAGATGAACATAGTCGAAACGAGCATCGGGAGTTTTAAATGAGCCTAGGGGACATTTAATGTGTCTGATAACCTTAGATTTTTGGCAGCTTACACAGAAGCGTGCCCACTCCGTCACGTCTTTATTCATACCAGGCCAGCAAAACCGTTCTGCAATAAGCTTGATGGTTGCACGAACGCCTGGATGAGAAAGTTTGTGCAATGTATTGAAGACATTGCGTCGATAATGTTTGGATCGTTCAGACTGTAACTTGACGATTCAGTCAGGATGATGTGGTTGAATATTACATATAATCATCATGTCTACCTGAATTCTACTAGTCTAATATACGATTTCGCATAAGAAATATTTTTTGAAAGATAATAACAATGGTGTAGATTATCTGAGAGTTTTTTTGCAAATATCTGTCTGATGACCTCAGTTGTTTGTAGAAATTTCAATGATTATACTTTCTCTTCATCTATCACCTCATTATATTTAATTATTCCAATAATATGGTATTCTCTATTGTGTAGTGGGCGTGATATGAATCTTAATTAGGATGAAGAATATCACTTTCTAATAATGTGTTTATGTGACTGACAGTCATCTACTCACACAGAACAGAGATGAA